AATGTTGATATACCCCCCTATCTAAATAAAACAAAAGGAAAAGAAAAGAAAAATAAAGACTAATTGTAATCATAATTTCGATTCTTTCAAAAAATTACAAATGACAAATCACCGTAATAGGAATTTGTAAATCACAGTGATAAGAAACCATCATGTTAATGAACTGAAGTAAACCATAGAGGATCCCAACCAGTTGCACTAACATCATCATTAACTATAATAGGTATCGAACCACCTCAATCGAATATTAAGAGAGGGAATTATGATAAAAAAAACAAAGTCTGCTCACGACAAAGCGACGCAAATCGATGAGCGTGCAAGGCTATGCTCGTGTGCGTGAGAGAACAATTTCACGATCAGAGAGCAATTCAGCATGCTTGCACACACACAGTAGTTATACATACACGAACTCCTGGGGCAATTTCATTGTTGATAGGCCAATTTTTCATTTTTTTTATTCAAACTCTTATTGTTAACAACTTTTAGATTATTTCTTACCATAATTCAATCCTTATAAATAGAGAACTTGGGCAAAGCACGATGAGCTTTCTCTATCCTCTAGATACACAATAATATTATAAAATTCACCAAACATAAGGGCCAATTACTTTATTTTGAGAGAGAAAATCAAACCCTATCAAGAATTGAAGGAAAGGTACATCAAGATTTTGAAAAATTCAACCTTGGATTTAAGGATCAATATTCCTTGCATTATTTCATAAACCGGGTGATATTTTTTCATTATTCTTTTTGTAATTTATTCGAAATTATGTTAAACTAGATCACTTTTTTATACTGGATGAAGATGAACCCTATTATTTATTTGTTTTAAATTCAAGACCAATAATTTAATTTATTTATTGTGTTTCTCGATTAATGCATACTCATTGCATTATTTAATTACATAGCTAACGTTAGATAATTAGTTGTTTGTTGTAGCGTTGAGAGACCTACAATAAGTTTAGATTATGATAAAATTAACATATATATAATAGATATTAGAAATAACATTTATCGCGTGTGCAATCACATCTAAAATTTAATTTACTTAAATCCTTCGAATTCGGGTTAGAAATATATTTGGATGGTGGTTATGATATATTTAATTTGTCTTGGAAAATAATCAAATGACATCAACTACTATTGAATTATAGTTGAAACATGTCAAAATAAATTACCACAAAGATGATCATTTTGAAAGTAAAGATTATTCAAATTGGAATCAATTATTTGTAATAGATTAGACCATATTCACAATAATAATGAATAGACTCTTAGGAGAATATGTGATTAAAAAATAGGAAAAAATTTTAAATTTACGTGCAAAAGAATTTATTATGTGAATGTGTGATTGAAAACGAGTATGTAAAAAAAAAAAAAAAGAGTTTTTAAGTAATAGCTTAACCCTTGTTCGAGTCACATTTATCTAAAAATTCTCAATTATATATTCTTCAATAAAATAATTGTATAAGTAAATCGAAATTTTATTCTTATTTTTTAACAACACATTTTTCAAAAAATCATTATTTAATAATATATTTTCCCCCAAAATGAGACTCATACAAATGCTTAATTTAAAATATACCGACTAATTATTTAATCAAAAAATTTTTTTTAGAAATAAAAACAAATTATTAAACAATCCCAAATCTCGTAATATGAGTCGAAACACAATAATGCTACATGTATATATATATTTTTTTACATTAAATTTGACATTATTGTAAGCTTGCAATTTTTTATTTGAGGCACATTATTTTAGAAGAATGTATTTTAGAATAGTAAATTAATAAAGAATGTGTGGTTGAAAAAGAAGGAAAAATTATTGATGTAATGAAAAATATTATTTTATTAAAAAATACGTGATTAAAAATGAGTAGAAGAATGCGAATGAAAATTTGAGATCCATCCAACGGGGGCAAATTTGAATAATACTTTAAATAATTTTCCGTCAAAATAATATGATTAATTAGTCGACTCCGATCACTTTCTCCGCCACGATCTCCACCTCAGCTGTACCGCCACAAGCCGCTGTGGCATCAGACTACATTTTTTTTCATCTATCTGTTTAAGTTATTCCTTGCTTTGTAATTATTAGCAATTACTGTATAATACGAAGCAAAGGAAGGAGGAGGAGGAGGAGGATAAGAATAATAATTTAAATTTGCAGTACTTTGTTGGAGATCCAGGCATTTTGGAGGTTTCAAGATTGAGAACTTTTTGTAAAAGGTATAAATTTTATGTGGCGTTGTTTGCTTCCGATACTCTACGATTCAGTTGTGATTTGTGTCATTGTGAGTGAGTATGGTAAATTCTTTTTCTTTTCGATCGATTTAATTTTAGTTTTCATTGATAATTACATACAATTGACGATTCTAGCTTTTATAGCTTTCATACTAATTTTTAATTTTTGTCTTGTATTCAGTTCTTCACGATTCGATTCATTTGCTTCTTCTTTTTTCTTCTTCTTACATTCTGAATAATTTCATACTTTCTGTGTGAAAATTTGTAATGATCTGTTTATTTATTGTCATTCCATTAAAATGTGATGAGAGCTGCCATCTATTCGGGAAATGCGATCTGTTCGTTGTTTTGAATTTGACCTTTTTGTATGAACTACGTGGATATCAAGTTCAATAGAGTAGGAGTACATGATATGGTGGAGGAATATTTTCTTGTGTTGCGTATAACAAACATGAAATTTTTGTGCAAGTGGGACGAGAAGTTGGGTTTAAGTAATGAAGTAATATTTCGTTTAGTTAAAACATTGAGTCAAAAGAATTGAGCCTAAAGAAAGACAGAGTTTCCCATCTCAATTGGTATTCTTTTTCTTTGGTCGTAAGTTTTAGAATAGTAATAATATTATTTTTATCTCTTCTATCATCCACATCGAAGATTTGATTTTGATTACTTTCAAAAAATAATGTTGTACCTATTAAAATTTGTTTAACCTGCTGTAAATTTGTTTCACCTAGAATATCTAAATATGTGCTTATATTTCTGAACTTGTATGTAATTTTGATCTTTTGTATGTTTCTCCTCGGTTACTGAACTTTTAAATTGAAAATGGTTATTACTATTGTGTTATGTTCTGTATGTTTGACCTGCTTCTTTCTTGTATGATGGTTTAGAATGCTGATCTGATGGAAATGCCACGAGTATGACATTTAAATGATTTTGAGTCAGTGGAACTTGGGGTATCGAGGATGAAGGGAGCCTTCTCTGGTCTGAAGGTTACACAGGTCTCTATCATCCTCATCAGTTTTGTTTGTGCAACGGTGGTTATACTGGCATGGACCAAAACCACATTCCTCACTTCTTTAATCCCCTCTCAGAGTAGTATTTTGCGGTTGAATCCAGGTTTGCCTTTACATATGATCTTTATCTATCCGGTTCAGTCATTCATTGATAGGGTTGTTTTTCCATGGAAAATGGAATTGGTTTTCCATTTTATTCCATTTTCCATGTTTTTTGGTGTCTGATAGCATTTTTTTCCATGCCAAATGT